CACCAAACCTATCGTGGATAAAATTAACAGTTTTGTGTCTAGTCTCGGTAACTGAAAGTACTCGTGTAATTTTTGGATTTTTTCCACATAAACCCCGCCAAAAAATTAACCACCGCTGCCCAAAAAAGATTAGAAAAAAAGGATATGAAATTTATACTTTTAGTTTTTGTTGAAGAGGGTGAAATTGGGACATGTCATTAATAATTTGCATGAAAAGGTCCGTTTTTCGGTACCTTTGCCTCCAAACGAACACACACAAGTAACTGTATACTAAAGATCGGTGTGTGCCGCCCTGGCGTTTATTCTGCCTCTTGTAGACGTGCCAAAGAGTTTCGATATTTAGTGTGTGAGCTCCAGACGTTGGATCCACAAAGTTTTCAGCATGACTAACCGTTGGAGTCTGCAAAAGCTGCCAGGCGCAAACTTCGCGAAGAAAGTTCTTCAGTCAACGGCCGACCGTGTGGCTAACAGATACTATCTCTGAGCAGAATTTGATTTTTGCCAAAGTTTTGGGACCAGCAANAGGTCCGAACGGAGAAAATTGGTGCACAAAATGAGTCTAGATGCGGATAAGGAATTGTTTTCATCAAAGATAGGTCAAGGTTGCGTGCGCACATTAGATTGGAGCTGGCAAAAAGAAGCGGCGCTTAACTTTTTGCACATGCACTTTTTGCATTAGTGGCGGGGTTCATCTGAGAAAGATCCGACATCTGTCTGGCGCATTCCGACAAAAAATGTATCTACCTTGACCAGTTGAAACGAACCATCGGAGTTGCGCGCTGCACGAAAGACCTCATTTGTCGACAGCTTAAGCTCCTCGCACGCTTGGGTTACCAGAGTGGTGGGGCCTAACTTTTCGCACATGCATTTTTGTGGGGCTTATCTGGAAAAGATCCGACATCTGTCACGTTCCGACGAAAAATGGATCTACCTTGATTCAGAGTGATGCATGCAGTTGGAACACACCATCGGCGTTGTGCGTTGCATGAAATTGGCCTCAGTTGTCAACAGCTTGATTTCCTTCCATGCTTTGGTTACTAAAATGGGCTAAACTTGTGGAAGTACGAAAATCCCTCACCACGAAGCTGCCTACCAGAAAACACTAACTAAACAGTTACAACCTTCCATCACGTAATTGTAAACCAATGCTTCCACGCAGTTCCACAGATTCCGTCATAAACCCCACCTTCCATTAGACGCGAAGCGGAGTTACAAGAAATCCACATACTACTCGCGTGCCCTATCAGTAGTGTCTACCGTAGCTGTACCATGAGCCTTAGCGTAGCAAACATTCAGAGAAAGAAGAATAAACGCCTTGGAAAGCGAGCGGAGTTACAAGAAATCCACATACTACTCGCGTGCCTTATCAGTAGTGTCTCCCGTAGCTGTACCATGGGCCTTAGCGTAGTAAACATTCAGAGGAAGAATAATAAACGCCTTGGGCTCACCGGTGCTAATCAGAGAAGCACGAACTGGGACGATTTTCCAGGGGACAGCTGTGACTGCATTGATTCGTAGCGACATTTTAACTCTTCTATTGGTACTGGATAAAACATGCCTCTGGTGTCGTCTTCTAAACTGACCTTGACGAACTTTATTGCATGTTCACCGGACTGATTGATCTTATTCCCGTGATGTGACCACCTCAGAACCTAGCCTGTTTACGTGGTTTAGCTGCCACATAACCCAGCTTCTATGAAAGGACAGTCCTCACAATGCCTGCAGCTGTCCATAGCGTCGACCAGTCACCAGCGATTTCACGTTCCATGGTACACCTAGTTATTCGTTGTGTCATCGTAAGGAGCCCCTTGTTTGTGTGCAATTTAGCGGTCATTAATCAGAGTCGGAAATGTGCATCGAACGTCACCAATACGAATAAATCTTGGTCCTGAATATCATGTCTCACCGTAGATTAACGGAGAAAAACCGTTCCGCTGCAGCACCCTTTCGGTGCCTAGCTATCAAGCCACCCGAAGGAGGAACGAGGGCTGGGATACTGCCAGGTTGCCCAAGCCTAGACAAGGGAAGTCGAGAGGTAGAGGTCGGGTTCGAACCACGGACCTTCCGGTCAGTAAATTCGCGAGAGACAACAAATGTGATGCTTGTAGGGGGTTTGAGGCCTTTTTACTTTCAGTCCACCGATACTTTGACGGGACCGGAAACACAAGGTGATAATGTTTGAGTTGGTGGAATATGGAGTTTATTCTCAATTCAGGAGTGAGAAACTACATGCAT